CACTATGAACTTGGCAGAGGGAGGTCAAGGTCCTCGCCCTGCAGTGCTTCTGTCTCATGCAGTAGGTAGATCATAGACAAGCATTGACAAGGCCTTTCCAGGTTACGGTCATAGCTATAGATAAAGGTGAGATGGAGAAAAGGGCTTACCATCTGGAAAAGGGCCATCAGGACGGACATGGGAATGGGAGAGCGGACACTGGGGACTCCTGGGGGGGTGTGAGGGGAGGGATGAGGGTTGAAAAACTTCCTTTTGGGCACCATGTTCACTACATGGGTGATGGGCATTTCAGCATCACACAATATACCCACATAACAAACCTGCATGTGCCCACCCTGAATCTAAAATAAAATAAAATGCTGAAATGGGGTGGTTGGGGAAGGCTTCCCTGAAGAGGTGACGTATGCAGTCAGCCTAGAGGATGAGAAGGGAAAGATAATGGAATATTGCAGGTGGAGAGAAAGCCAAGCTTGCCATGTACAACCTGCCCTCAACATCCAGGGGCACCAGCAGCATGAGAGAAGCCGTCGCCTGGTTGGCAATGGTAATGTTGCCAGGACTTGGGCTCTGATGTTCTGACATGCAGACCCAGATCCATTGAATGGCAGTATTTTTCCTCCAAGGACCTAGGACTATCTGTGATTTAGAAATCCCTTCACGGGGCTGTGTGTGGCATTTCTGGAGGTGGCTCCCACAGACACTAGACATGCTCCTGCCTGTCATCCTGGGAGGTCCCACGTGGCCATCTACCATGGGTCTGCCCCGTGGCTCCCCCAGCTTTCAGTCAGCATGGATGGAATGATAGGAACTCGAAAGCCCCTTTTCATGTTTGCCTGGTGATGAGAGAAGAGATGAGATTGTTGCTTTCATATCTTTCCCATAGACTCTTAAAATTAACTTCACTGTCAAATTTCCACGCGCCCCCAGTGTGGGTTTGGGAAAGGTGTATAAGACTTTGAAGTTGAGAAGGAAAGTAGAGAAAGCGTTCTCTAGTCAAACGTTAAACATGCAGATGTCAGGATCTGTGAGGAGAAAAGCAAAAAGGCGCTTGGAAAACTGTGGAGAGAGGAAAAAGGAACCCGGTGTGGAGATGGCTACTTCAGCTCAGGAAAAAATAAATAAAATAATAAAAGGTAGTGTCAAAGCTTTGAAAGGAATTTTTTCATTTAAGAGAGATTATGAATAATGAAATGCAAACACTCTAGTTAATATGTCCGTTAGCTGGTTGATGTTGCCTCTGGAGATGAGTGGTATGTTCCAAGGGGAGTGGCTTTTCAGTTATCCCTCTTGACTGGGGCTGAGGTGAGCTCTGAATTTGGACCCCAGATTCCTTCACAAACAAACACTGCATATGAGACGCTGGATGCAAAGCCACGCTTATCCCAACCCACAAATGTCCTGAGCCCCGCCAACGCTTCACAAATGAACCTGACAACACTGAAATTTCTAAGGAGATTTGCTCCAGCTGCAGCAAATCCCTAACAATAAAAAATTTCCCCAAATGAGTCAATCACACAGGAGGTAAATGAGACATTCTCTGTGAAGTCAGTATGCCACTTGGAGTGCGCCTTTTGGATGAAAAGCCAGGAGACTGTGTGACTAGTGTGGCCTGTCCACAGGCAGAACCAAAACACTGGGGCAAAGGGGAGACTAAGCGGCCAAATTGTCATTCTGAGTCACTTTTCCCTCAAGCAAACCTTATAGGAAAATTCCATCATCCTACAAAGTTCAAGTAAAGGCTGATTATTTGCTTCACAAAAGGATTCACCAGAGGGGTCCTTTAACAGGCTCAGAGAGAAAATGTATAAAACGATTGAATTCTGTGAGCTTTTCCAGACACACACCCCTTCTCTATATGTGTCTGTGGATACGCACAAGGGTGTATTTGTTGCCGTCCACATTACAGAAAAGAATCTGAGGTGTTCTACGTCTATTGAGTAAACTGAGGCAAGCTTGCAACTGGCATCTGTAGGTTGGCCCTGCTACATTACTGATGCCGTTAATCTTCCAAATTATTCCACAGGTGATTTGGCAGCAAGCTAAAACCCTTTCACTTCAGATGAACAAGCCAGTGGGATGTCAGAGCCTCTCTTTGCCTTTCCCGGGGAAATTGGCAGTACAAAACTAGAACTATCTGGTGGTCTTTGGGAAAAAAAGTTTAAAAAATTATTTGAACGTGAGTTGTGTCCTTGGCACTGTTCTAGGTATCTGACACGCTGTGTCGTCCTGTCATCTTTAGGCCTCACCCCAGTTCTGTGGGGTAGATGATGAGGGTGATGGTGATCATTTTGGTGATGGTGATAATGGTGATGATAGTGATGATGATGGATTTCCTTCTGCATCTGCTAAATCATGAGAACTGGACTGTTTTTCTCAGAGATCCTACTTGAAAAATTTCTTAATGGAGACAGCTTTATTTTATCTACGTTTAATTTACTAAAGAAATTCAGGCTTATCATAAACTGTTTAGATAATAGAAGAGAACAACAAAGAAAGTAAAAACTACCAATGACCTTGCCACCCGTATATCTAACTGCTGTTAATATTTTAGTATAGTCTTTCAGGCATTATTCTGCATGTTTATGCAAGGAAATGTATGTATATATTTTTAGATATACTTTTTAGAAGTTAACCGTATATCATGAACCTTTTCCCATAAAAACCAAAAGTCTAGACCCATAGCACTATTTAATAGCAGCAGAGAATTTCATCTTGTAAACACCCAAAATTGGTTTACCCACCCTCTATGATTGGACTTTTAAACATGATGCTATTTGTAATAATGTGTCCTCCCACCTTTCATATGCTTTTGTTAAATACATCCACAAAGATGCATATAATATGTATATATCTGCACAGCTGGCTGGTTATTTTCTCAGGAAGGGCTCTAGCAGTAGGGTTGCTGGATTAAGGGCTGTAGACACATTAACTTCTATCATATTCTGCTAAATGCCTTCCAAACTGTTTGGGCAGGTGTCCATTACCACTGACACTGACCCTCTGCTTGGTTGCCTGATCCTCTTAGGCAAGTCGCTCCTGCCCTGGGTGCAGCCTCCTCACCTCTGAGTGAGTGTGAGTGTGCAACAGATCCTAGTTCACACTCACGAGGCACACACTGAGTACCAGGCTGTGTGTCATCCTTTACATAAATCCGGTTAGTGTTTGGCTCCCACAACCACCAGAAGAAAGGCCTTACTAGCCCTGTTTCACTCTTACCCTCCCTATTTCTGAGGCTCCAAAAGCTTCAGGAACTTACCTGAGGGCACCCAGCTCTTTCTGCTTCCAGGATGGGGACTCTTGCACTGGGCCCTGCTTTTCCCAGTACAGATGAGCTGTTATCTGATCCGTGAACAAGGTGGCAGGTCTTCTCAACCTTTAGGGCATCATCTTGGCTCAGGGAAACTGACTGCCCAGCAGAATTTACCTCTATATGGAAACAGCAAGGAAGGTTTTCCAGAAGGTTTGGAAGTTTCCCCTGAGAACGACCTAAGCATCTTTTACCTTTTACTTGACTTGAGGAAGTGTGTTTCAAAGTCAGTACCATCTCCTGCAATTAAATCCCAGCTCTAAGTGGAGTCCTTCTCAGCCTGTGGCCTCTCCCTCCAGAGCTCCAGGGATTGCCCTCCAACTCTCCAGACTCCAGCCCATGTCCGCCCTGTGGGGTCTAAGCATGAACAGTCCCAGTCCTCTCCTCCTGATTCCCCCTTCCTAGGCCCGCTGTTTCAGAGTGGCTGAGGAGCATGGCTCCCAAGCGTGGCTCCCGGGTCTAGGGCATACCAGCAACATCTTGTCTCCACAGACCCTTGTGAAGCGGGAGCCAGCAGGTGTATCCCAGAGAGGGGACACCCCACTCTCTTCACCCATAGGGAAGACTTCCCTACAGCTTTAACATGTTGATAGCAGAAGGGAGTGATGGTTGTCAATAAATACTGGTCCAGCGACCAGCAGTGGAGAGGGAGCCTCCCACCTAAGCGGTGCGACAGGGGTACTGACTGGACTCCCAAGGAGGCAGGCAGCACACGCACAGTGAGGATTGCCAGAGCATGTGCCGAGGCCAAAAGATGTGTGTCTGTCAAGATAAAATGGATCATTACATGTGCACCACACCATGGACTAGCCAAAGATGTCCTTGGGAGGGTCTGCCCCCACCGTGCAGGGCCAGGATTAGGGAGGGCAGCATTCCTGTCTGCTTCTGCCCAGGCTGCTGAGAGAGAGAGAGAGAGAGAGAGAGAGAGAGAGTGTGTGTGTGTGTGTGTGTGTGTGTGTTTGTATAGACATCAGTCCCCAGGGACTCAGTCCTGCTTTTGGAGAAAGATTTTTATTACCTCATCTAATATGATGCTGATTCCTTGTAAAAGCATGTAGTGACTGGACTCTGATGATGTGAACCTCGCAGCATCATCCCAGGGAGGGCAGGGGCCCACGGATGGGCATCTTTATCTCTGATGATGATGACAGATAGTAGGGCATTGCCCAGGAGAGAGTGGAAACAGGATGAGAGGGAGACAGGAAAAGAAACAATTATCCCTGAAATAGCCCGGGTACCCAACACGGAAACAGCCCCTTCCATATTGCATTCCAGCTCCTCTCAACCTCCTAGAGTGGGTGTTTTATCCTCATCTTGCCAACAGAGAAATTGATGCTGAAGGAGTTAAGAGCCTTATACTGATGTGCAGCTCAGGAAAGATCCAGAGAAAGCATGATGGGAATAAAGGTGGCACTACCAGAGGAGGGAAACAGTATCTGGTGGTTTTAATAAAGTGAAGCTGCTCTCAAGTGGTCAAGAGACAGGTCCTTCCAGCTGTACCCGTTCACTCCGTGTCTCAGCAGAGTATAGCCCTCCCTGTGTCTCTGCCCATCTACACTAGCAGACATGAGTGTGCTCTCCATCTACCTGTGACATTTGGGCATCTGTGAATGCGTGAAGAAACATGGTTGGAGCGGCACAGTGATCCTTCCACATCCTCAGGGTGATGTTGTCCTATGTCATCCTCACCTAGGTATGACTTCATTGAAATCCGGGATGGGGACAGTGAATCTGCAGACCTCCTGGGCAAGCACTGTGGGAACATCGCGCCACCCACCATCATCTCCTCAGGCTCCATGCTCTACATCAAGTTCACATCGGACTACGCCCGGCAGGGGGCAGGCTTCTCTCTGCGCTATGAGATCTTCAAGACAGGTCAGTGTGGTCTCCAGTGGGGGCCAGGAGGTGGCGTCTCTGAGAAGAAGTGGACATGGCAGTCCCATGGGTTCAGGCGGGTAGCGGGGTCCCAGTGTCTCCAGCTTGAACACAGTGAATGGGTCAAGGAGACTCTGACAACGCCCAAGAGTCACAGCCAGCTCAGGCTGTGGCCTAGCCAAGCAATTTGCTGAGGAGTGGTGGGTACGCCATGTGACTTGTGGCACCAGCAGAGTGCGGGCCCAAGACAAGCAGGAAAGCACTTTGTGTAAGAATTTGGTTTTTTGTATGTTTTTAAAAATCAAAGTTATCTACACGGAAGAAAGTAAAACTCTATTGAATTTCCTCCCAATGACTTCATGTTCTAATGTTGCCTTTATTTGGAATTACATGAGGCTGAGACATAATCTTTTCACTGTTTAGAGCCTCTGAAGATCTTACAGTGACCCCCCCCAAGTGAGGTTTCACCACAGTCTTTAAATTAAAATATGACTTCTCAGACTTCCCTTGGCTGTCCCCAGTGTGCCTCTGTGCCGGAGCCCCCACTCCCAAACACCAGCAGCACTGACTCCCTGAGAAGGAGTCAGAAAGAATCAGGCAGGAGGCAAGGAGGCCTGTGCTTGTTTTAGGTTGACTGCTTGATTTCCACAAGGTTCCCTGAGAACATGGGCCATGCTCACCTCCTCAACTGGGTGTAGTAGACTTGGTTCTTGAAACGCAACCTCCGCCTCTACAACCAAGCCCTTGGAGGGACATGTCCTCCCTGCCACATGTAGATGAGTGCATGGTCCCTGCCCTTTGTGAAGGTGGCATGTCCTCTCTGCTATATAGGGAGGGGTGCATACTCCCTGCCACACGTGCCCTCCCTGGCCTATGTGGATGGGTGTGTGCTCCCTGCCCTGTGTAGAGAAAGCATGTCCTCCCTTCCCCGTGTGGAGGGGAATGTACTCTCTTCCCCGTGTGGAGGGGCATGTGCTCCCTGCCCTGTGTGGAGAGGCACATGCTCCCTGCCGTGTATGGAGGGGTATGTCTTTTCTGCCCCATGTGAAGGGATGTGTGTTCTCTGCCCCTTGTGGAGGGGTGCATGCTCCCTGACCCATGTGGAGGGATGTGTTTTCCCTGCCCCGTGTGGAGGAGTGTGTCTTCCCTGCCCCATGTGAGGGGCATGTGCTCCCTTCACCGTGCAGAGCTCCTTACCTCAAGGCCCAGGGAAGCCCATCCTCCAACTCTCCCCTCCCCAGAGGCTCCCACTCCATCCCCAAGTGCATCCCCCTCCCACTGCCTGAGTTTTACCACCAGTGAATGGAGTCTGGCACAGGGGAGGCTGTCAGCCCAGTCATCAAGAGGCCCGGGCCCAGCGCCTGTGGTGTTCAGAGCGAGGGGAACTATTCATATATTTTTTTTTTTTCACTAAACAGTTATTGAAAGGAAGTGGTAGCTGCTGAAGGCACTTTTTATATCCACCCTGTCTAAATATTTGTCGGGTTTGTCTGCCCACAACCAAGAGTATGCAATGAAATGGAGGGTGGGGCTGAGCACTTATATCATGGCAGGGTGGATGCCCAGGCCATCACAGGGCCAGATCACAGGAAGACCTGCCTGCCTCAGCTTCATGCTCTGACCATGATAGGGTGGACATTGTGTGTGTCTGGTGGCTCGGGCCGAGGTCTATGCTCCCTGGAGTCCTGTGCAGGATTCAGATCCACCCACCAGCTTTTCAGGATGCCCACAGCTGCCAGGCAGAAGGAGACTCATAGAGAAAGGACTGACACAAGGTGTCAGGCAGACAGGTGTGGGAACCCTCTGCACATGGTAGGTGCACAGGCCATGCTGTGGATGCATGCATCGCCTGCAGGGAGAGCCAGAAAATGGCAGAGTGAGTTCATACTGACGGACGCATAGTTGACGTGCTGTGGTCATGAGAAGGCAGAGCTGTCACCTGGTGCAGCACCTGGGGGCTGCTCTATGGCACGGTCCCCAGCACTGATGCTGCCATATGACCATATGGATCCAGAAAGGAAAACAGCTCTGAGAGGGTCTTGGAGTTGCCAGGAAGTCAGGAAAGGGTGGGTGGGGCCGTGAAGGCCCTCTGTGGTCTCACTGCCCAGCTGCGCATCTCCCAGGGCTCAGTGCCTCATTCTCCAGAATGCCACAGAAAGGTGGCTGTTCACACCATCCACTGTGCTCATTTGAAAGGAGGATGTGGCTAGGCATGGTGGCTCACACCACTTTGAGAGGCTGAGGCAAGTGGTTTGCTTGAGCCCAGGGTTTGAAACTAGCCTGTGCAACTTGGCGAGACCTCATCTCTACAATAAATCAAAAAAATTAGCTGGACATAGTAGTGTGTGCCTGTACTTGGAAGACTGAGGCAGAAGGATCTCCTGAGCCCAGCAGGTCAAGGCTGCTGTGGCCGTGAGCGTGCCACTGCTCTCCAGCTTGGGCAACAGAGTGAGACTCCGATTAAAAAAAAAAAAGAAAGGAGGATGTGAAGAGGTAAAACACATGAGAGTGTGTCTTAGGGCAGCACTGTCTTGGGGACATGCTGAGGCAGTATTTCAAATGAGGCAACAAGTCTGTGAACAGCCTAGAAACAATGGTGCCTACCAAGGAGGCCAGGTGCTTTGTGGACTGTGGTCAGCTGCAGAAGAGCCCATAAGACACAGCTCTGCCAGCCACAGTGTGCTCCTGGGATCAGGAGGGAGAAGAAGGGGATCCGGAAGCCTTCTCAGGAACACTGACACTTACCATCACGCCATCTAAAAGAGTCACTCACAAGTCAGTCCCTGTGTAAGACAGAGATGTTCACAGTACAGAACTCAGAATGGAGAGGTTGAGAAAGATGTGTGCATTTTGGGTGCTGCATCCTACACTCATGTCTCCACTGGTGGATCCTAAGAGAGACACACAAGGTTTATATCACCATAGAATGGGAAAAATATGGTGGCCAAGCCGAATAAATCCAGACTGGTCCAGCTGCATTGGCCAGTCAGGGTCATGATGAGGAAAGAGGGGGAACTGTAAACATGGGTGTGCACACAGCTGGACGACAGACAGCTCTGGAAGATCCAAGAGCACAATGCCAGGTGGGTTTCTATGGCAGAGCCTATGACATAGACTCAGACCCAGGCTGGAGGTTCACATGAAGTGGCTTACAGAAGATTCTGTATGTTACTAGACTGTTCACATATGAAAGGCTAAGCCAAATCAACTCACAAAAGATCTCGGATCATCAAATTCTGAGCAGAACAGAAAAAGGAATTAAAAGTAACATTGGAGACAAAAATCAGTGGAAGGTACATGTGAGTGCATGTACGCGTGCATTTCCCAATGCTTCTCTGACCATAAGTTTAAGATCAGGTTTTCTTTCCTGTTTGCCCAGTGATGTTTCTGAGACTGAGATTTCTGGGGTCACTCACAGAGAAGACCTAAAAGGCCCACCACCTCCCTGAATTCACCCTCTGAGAGCATGGCAAGCTCAGCTTCATATGTTTAAAATGTCTTAATACAGTCAGGTGCGGTGACTCACGCCTATAATCCCAACAGTTTGGGAAGCCAAGGTGTGAGGATTGCCTGAACCCAGGATTGCCTAACTGGGTTCGAAACCAGCCTGGGCAACTTGGCGAGACCTCATCTCTACAATAAATCAAAAAATTAGCTGGATGTAGTGGTGTGTGCCTGTAGTTCCAGCTACTTGGAAAGCTGAGGAGGAAGAATCACCTGAGCTCAGCAGGTCGAGGCTGTGGTGGCCATGAGTGGGCTACTGTACTCCAACCTGGGTGACAGAGTGAGGCGCCAACTGAAAAATAAAATAAAATAAAATGTCTTAATACATTTAGATTCTTCCTTGACCTGCAGAGTTATAACATTTACAGCAGAAAAACAGCGTAGGTGTTTTTCATACCAGAGTCTTTCATGTGAAGCCATTCACTGCAACCCACAGCCGCCAGCTTCTGTGGACAATCTGAGCATGGAGTGGACTTGAGTTATTTGCTGACAAGTTATTTTTTAACCTTTACTCCTTTGAACACATTGCAGAAGAGGGTCTTGGATAGATATCCACAAGAATCAACTTGCATCTCCTCTTCCGATGTCTCTTCTCAGCATTTGACGTTCAGCTCCTCTTCTGACACCTTGGCCCTGCTGCAAGCAGTGGGACAGGGCAGCTGGAGATGGATGCTTGATTTTAATAGAAAGGTCTGATTCTTCTGCATAAAAAAATAAAACTGGATAAAAGTGTTCTCACCTCATCAAAATAAGCCAGAGGATACTCTCATTCTAGCCATATATCAGAAATGCACACCTTTTTTGCCTCCGGTAGCTAAAGTTGAGAAGTTTTTCCGGTTGAATGCCAAGGCCCAGGACCTTTGAAACCCCGAATACCTCAGATTCTCACATCCTACAGGCCCCCTGGAGCTTACTGGTGTCTGTTGGGGAATCACTTGTGCCTTACCCATGAACAGGACCAAAGGAAGATTCTGCCATGACTCCTCCACTCCTGAGGTGGAGTCCCCTGCCCTCCAAGGGAATGACAGCAGGACAGACTCCAAGCACAAATGTCGCAATGCCCTTTCTAGCCCCGGCAGGTTGTGGATAGGCTGAGGTTTCCCCACCATGCAAGGCCAGCTGAGTGCCCTCACAGAGAAGCTGCACCACCTTTTCTAACCTTTTCAGGATCCCTCTGGTTCTTGAAAACTTACCACTGGGTTGGCTCACCTGTGTTGCACCATCCTGGGCCACATGGAGCCTCAGGGGTCTGGAGCCAGATGATAGACATAGCTGGGCAATGCCCACTGTGGGCCTTGCTGCTCTGTCTCCCCACCTCTTCCATCCCCACCCAGCTCCAGGGCTGCCCTCTGGCCTGCAAGTGAATGTGGACTCAAGCATCCCAGGCATGGCACTTGGTGCCTCCCAAGAGCCTATGAAAAGGCCAGTCATTTCCCTTGTGGGCCTGGTCCCCGTCCTGCCAAGGCATGGTGGACAGTAGGGGTAGGAGGAAATGGGTGGATGGGTCAGAGCAACTGGAGCTCCCTGTCTGGTGCTAAAGTTGCATCCCCACCCCACTTATCGCCTGACACCATTTCCAAGCCAGACATTTGCCACTTTCCAGAAAGCCATCCAAAGTCAAGGGTTGGTGGAGGCCTGTCACAGAACCATGGGTAAAGACATCTGTGACAAGACAGCCTATTGATATCACCTGTTGGGTTTTGGTGCAATTCCCAGAGGACGATTCCCACCAGTAAATGCTGGTTTATCGAGTATTTCTGAGTATTTCCTTGTGCCTGGAATGTCTATTATCTTCTTCATAAACCTTGCTTCCTCTTCCCAGTTTAGACTCCGAGACTTGTGAATGCTTCCGTTCTCATGCCCAGCCTTTCTGTTACCAGTGAACACGCATGTTTTCTGGCTGTGCATGCAAGAGGTCCCTGGGTCTGGGTGCAATGCCCACGGGACCCGTCTGTGGTACCATCCTGGCCAGTGGCATCTGGGTAAAGTGCTTTGCCATGAGTCCACCAGAGGTATTGGGAGACAGAGTGACTGTCACCCTCTCGTGAGACCTTGTGCTATCTAGTACATGGACATGGCACATCTCAGCAGGGTACCAACATGCATCCCTGAAGGCCACTACAAACCCAGGGAACACACAAGGCATCCTTACACAGGAGGCAGAAGCCCTTTAAATGTCAACATGCTGCTGCCTTCTTCCAATCTTGTGGCCTGAGCAGCCTGCAACGTCCCAGCGCCTGGTTGCAATCCACCAGCTACAAACGCCGATTGTTCATTGTCTGACCACTACAGAGTAGCATGTTCTAACACAGCCATGACATGGGTGAGACCCCAGTTCCCCTTTGCCCCTCCCCCGAGGCACCTTGGGTCCTGCAGGGAGAAGGGGGCATTTGGTCGGCCGTGGTACAATAGGGGCTAGTGTTGGGGTCAGCAGCAAATAAGGGGTAACATTGTTTCCCCTGCTGGCAGCCAGCAAGCCCTCCTTAAGGACTGAAATAACTCCCCAGCATTGCTGAGGCCGGCAGCTGAAGGACTGAGAAAGGGACTGTGTTCCTCCTTTCAAGAGATCTCCGTCTCTCTCCCTCTCCCTCTCTCTCCCTTCCTCTCCCTCACACAAGCCTCGATGACTGTCCTCACTTCCATCTGCAGGACCAGCTAACTCCCTCCTGAGGGACCAGCTGGAGGGTCTGGAGCATGCCGGTGAGGGGTCTGTCCCTTCAAGGTCTGCTCCAGTGGCAACAAAACCTCCAGTCGGGATCCAAGGCAGGGGTGGAGGGCAAACACATAAATAGCCCATGAGATGCAGGCGGCAGAGGTGGGCACCACCTCACACCATCCTGCCTTTTCTGCACAGGCTCTGAAGATTGCTCGAAAAACTTCACGGGCCCCAATGGCACCATCGAGTCCCCCGGGTTTCCCGAGAAGTACCCACACAACTTGGACTGCACCTTCACCATCCTGGCCAAGCCCAAGACAGAGATTGTACTGCAATTCCTGACCTTTGACCTGGAGCATGACCCCTTGCAAGTGGGCGAGGGGGATTGCAAGTATGACTGGCTGGACATCTGGGATGGCGTTCCACATGGTGAGTGGTGGTACGGGGCCGCCTGTTGCGTTAGCACTGAGAAAAGGGAACGGAGGCCAGAGCCCTGGGGTGTTCTTCCGTGACCACAGCACTGGACTCTTTTCCTCCCCCACGAAGTGGGTCTGTGGAGAGTCACAGAAAGACAGTCTACTTTCCTGGAGGTGTTTCTTTGGAAACAGACAGGAAGCTAAGTAGATGGGTGGGAGAGGACAAGAAAACCCATCAGGGATGTTCTTGTCCACTCAAGTTATCAGGATAGAAAGAGATGCCGTGGCTAGCCCCGGGACCAGTGAGGAGGACTGCAAGGCCAGACTGCCTGGGCTGAGCCCCTGCCTGCTGCTTACGGTTGTGCAGCCTTGGACATGTGACCTGACCTGTCTGTGTCTCATCTGTACACATTAGCTGTTGTGGTCATCGTCATTCCTACCGTAGGTTTATTATTAGTGTAGTCACAGGTGTTGAAAAGGTGCATCACCCAAGGCTAGGAGCAACCTGTGCTTCTCAGGTGAGGGCGAAGGTCTTGGGTGTAGTCAGTTTCAGGGCGGAAACAGCCTTTCACTTGTATGGTCACCCCAAGTGTTTCCCAACATCAGGGTACTTGATGTCCAAGCAAGGAGACACATTTCCTTTCCTGGGAAGCCTACAGATGGTTCATCAGAGGCATGGGCGTGACTTCTGGCACTGCTGCTTCCTAGTGATATGAGCGAGGACATCACATGACTTCTCTAAACCTCAGTTTCTCCTTCTGTAAAGTAGGCATTGTCATGGTACCTTCCTAGCCCACCTTCTGGGACTGTGAGAATGGAATGAAGTCAGAGCAAGGAGCCTGTACTTTTTTCATTAGAGAAGGAATGCTAACTGGGTGTGGTGGTGCACACCTGTAATCCCAATGTTTTAGGAAGCCAAGGCGGTTGGGCCAGGAGGTTGAGGATGCAGTGAGCTATGACCATGCCACAATATTACAGCCTGGGCAATGAAGGAAGACCTTCCCTCTTAAAAAAAAGTGGAAGTCCTTTTTAATGTGCAGGAACAGTGTCAGCCATTGTTCATAAGACCTGTCTTGATGGTTCTGTGACTTTCCGTTGGGAGACCTACTCGAGGCCCCATTGGATAACAGGCAGGGGTGGGAAGGGAGGCTGTGTGGAGTACCACGTCTCATGTTTCCATTCCTGCTGTCCTCTCTGTCTGCACATCCAGTTGGCCCCCTGATTGGCAAGTACTGTGGGACCAGAACACCCTCTGAGCTTCGCTCATCGACAGGAGTCCTCTCGCTGACCTTCCACACAGACATGGCCGTGGCCAAGGATGGCTTCTCTGCTCGGTACTACCTTGTCCACCAAGAACCACCAGAGAGTGAGTTGGTTGGTGGGAGCCCCTTCCTGTCCTTCCACTAGTCTGTCAGTGTGCAGGGGAGGGGACTGACCTCCATGACAGAAGGAGATGGAACTCTACCAGATTTGCAGTGATGTCCGAGTTTAGGGAATGGGGCCACATCCTTGGACCAGGCAGAGAGAGATGAGAAAAGAGCACATGTGAATCTGAGCACTTATTTCTTTAAAAATAAAATAACGTGTACCAAGAATTGGTTATTCCCAGGGAATGTCACGGGACCACCTCATGCCTCAATTTCCTCATCAATGAATGAAAGGGAGATTAGTTAGGCTGATCTATATAGGGTCCCTCCTGTGCTAACATTTTTTGCGTCTGGGCCATTTTTTTCCCCTCTCCAAATCTCAGGGGCTAGTGCCACAAAACTGAGCCATTTTTAAACTTCTCTTTCTATATACTTTTTGACATTAAACATCCCTGTACCTGGGCTGTGTTTTCCTGGCTGGACAGGTACAACTGCTTAGACTTCCACACTTCCACTAAAGGTAGTTTCTGGAGCTTCTCCAATGTGCCAGCACTGTGCAAAAGTGTCACTCTGACCCCAGTCGCTGCGGACTTGGGTCTAGTCCATCACATCCCAACCCTGAGCTATGTCTTCAGATCAGCGGCTCTTGGATGCCACTGTGTGCTGCCACCTCCACTTAGAGATCTAAACTTTAACAGTGGCAGCTTTAACAGTGACAGAAGCACTTTAGGATTATTAGAGCCACGGAAACCCTGCCACAACTGTGGATGCTCACCACATAGGTGACTACAGACCTGGCAGTCTGACCTGCAGGAAAGTTGGTGGGTTTGCTCTGAACTTTGCTTTTGCTTTTGCATCCAAGTGCCCGTGAAGATTGAGTGACAAAGAAACAGTATGGTAGATGGCACTGGGTCCTGTGAATGGCCAGTGAAGCCACAGAGCTGAGCGTAGTTGATACCTGAGAAGGATTGCTGGCCCATCTCAGACATGCACACATGCAAGCATTGGTCCGTGTCTGTGGCACACCCAGAAGGACAGCAGTGTAGCTGACAGCTCAGGCTGGAGTGAGCAACTCATGGGTCTGCATGTGCTCAGACAGTGGGTGCAGGGGCATGTTGCGTGACATGCATGTGCTCAAGGAGAGGTCTCACACAGACAAGTATTCATGCTTTATCACGTCTGTCTCCTGTGCCAGACTCCTGAGACAGCTGAGGGCAAGAAGCAAGGAAGCAAAGTGCCCCTGGGTGTTTATCCATAAAGCAGGCTCCCCACGATGTGCCAGCCCACCCAGGTGCCAGGGTCCACCTCCTGCTCACCTGTGTTTCTGTGGCAGCACGTCTAGTGGCTGTGAACACTGTAGCCTGCAGCAGGAGCAGTTCTTATGCTTTAGATTGGATTTTTAATTTGTATGATGATTCTTTTTTATCTACAACCTTATTTCTTTTAGGTCTAATTTAGTTTCTTTCAGACCCAGAGGGGTTGCCCAGCTCCATGGTTTGATGTAGATGTTTTTTTTCAAACATGAACGTGTGATTAGGGTCTGTGAGACGGGGCTTGCCAGCATGGACTTGTCCCTGGAAGGAACAGTGTCGGGGGGATGCTGGGGTTTGAGATGAGAGCCTAACTGCCCTGACCATCTCCTCTCCACAGACTTTCAGTGCAACGCCCCCCTGGGGATGGAGTCGGGCCGGATCGCGAATGAGCAGATCAGCGCATCGTCAACCTACTCTGATGGGCGGTGGACCCCACAGCAGAGCCGGCTCCATGGCGATGACAATGGCTGGACCCCCAACCTGGACTCCAACAAGGAATACCTCCAGGTGCGTGTTCAATACCCAGGGGTGTGAAGCATGTGTGCACATTGATGAGCAGGAGGGTGGCTCTCAAACAGAGTAGTCAAAAGACCGAAAATAAACACACATACCATTTATTAAACACACATACCAGAGAATGCCATTTATTCATCTGCCCAAGCATACATGTGTGCCAGACACAAGTAGACTGTACCAGGCCCTGGGCTGCTTGCTGGAGTGCACTGAGTGGTAGAAGGGACCCCTGTCCCTGCCCTCATGGAGATCTAGACCTGGAAGAAGAGGCCTGGCCAGGATGCTGTTTGCTCTATCACTGTAGATATCCAGGGAACATTCCATAAGCAGTTCAGATCTTCCCCTCCTGGCATGGGGAGCCTCAGAGGCCTGGGCCATGCTCCTGCAGGCAGGTCGGCTGAGGTGCTAAGGAGCATGGTGGCGTCTTATGGCCTCCGCTGCTTGGAGCCCTGCCAGGGAGGTTGCGCCCAGAGCTATCAGGAGGACACATGAGAAAATGTCCTAACCAGGAACAGAACTCCAGCTGCCCAGATGCCCAGATGCCTGGCAGCGACTTTGCAGACTGTTGTTTGCCTCTTTCTGAGTAAGACTCACAGCCATGTTGAGTCATCTTCCCGCGCTGCAGATGAGGCTGGCTCTTGTCTCCTGGGAAAGAGTAAACAGGGGAAGAACCAGCCACCAGCCCCATGCTAGAGCAGCGGCTACTCTTATGATACACAAATGGCAGCCTGTGACCCATGACAGGCCTGCCCTAGCTCTGACATGACTTGGTGACCTCTGCTCTAAGAAGACATTGGAGCAGACAATAGGAGAGGGGGAGAGACCCCTTAGCAACTCCAGGGAGTCCACAGAGGCTCTTACAGCACAAGCCCAAGGCCACTGTCACTGCCTCTCCAAAAATTCTTCTCATCCTGCAGAGCTTCCAAAAAGTTCTGCTGTAGAGGTGGCCTTCCATACTTGGGTCCTCAATTGTATATGCTCTCTTCTTGCTGCCCACCTGTTTCTGTTTGCAAGAATGGCACCACGTGCTGATCTGAATGTTTAATGCTGACCCATCGTGAGTGACCTAAAACCACTGCCTGAATTGACATTTATCCTTGCACACTGGCTACATTTTGGTCATGTGGAGATTGCCATTAAGAAACACTGTGTCCAGCAAAGGAATGACATCCAGCAATTTCCAAAAGGGCTTGGCATTGTGGGAGGGTAGGACCTCAAAGTGCTGACAGGAGGTCAGAGGTCAGGACCTGGTGCATAAGCCTAATTGCTTGGACAGACTCTGCATGCCCTCTGACCCCTCAGCAACCTGAGTGACAAGATGGACAGTGGAGCCAGGGGGTGTGGGGAGGGGGCCACTGTGAACCGTGACTTTCATGACGAGGGCATGAGAAGTGCGTTGGATGGAACTGGGCTGGGGCAGGGGCATATGTAGCCTAGCTCCTTCAGAACAGCATCTGTCTCCACCATCTGAGGTGACTGGAGTGCAGTGAGGAGGGGTCATTCTTCTAGATGTTCAATGATTAGGAAAAACGGAGCGATGTCCATTCAGATTTGTAAAAGAGAGAACAAGGAAAGAAAATAAGCCATATCTTTAAGGCATCTGATTCGGTGTCAGATAAATTGAGTTTTTTGTCCAGTGGATTTGCAAACTGACACTAACTACAACTGTCTCTGTGGTGCCAAGGCGCAGGCTGAGAGCAGAGTCTAACGATGTGTCCTCGCAGGAGCCCTGCTCCATGTGGGAGGCCGGCCCTTACTCCTGTTCTGTCTTTCCAGGTGGACCTGCACTTTTTGACCATACTCACAGCCATTGCCACACAGGGAGCAGTTTCCAGGGAGACCCAGAACGGCTACTACATCAAGTCCTACAAGCTGGAGGTCAGCACCAATGGCGAGGACTGGATGGTATACCGGCATGGCAAGAACCACAAGGTGAGTCCTGTGATTGGCTTGCTGGAGCAGCCAGAAGGTGGGACTGGCATCTGGCCATGCCCACGCAGGAGAGGGGACTGATGGAGAGACTTGAGAGTAACCCACAGTGGCAAGGGGCACACCAGCCTGGAAAACTTTCCTGCTTTGGCTGAAGTAACCTGAAAACACAGCTTCTCCTGCAGGCGGCCCAAGCAATTAGGCTTCTGCACCAGGTCCTGACCTCTGACCTCCTCTCAGCATTTTGCACTGCAGAAAACCAGCTTGCGGCGCCTGACTTCAAATGACAGGGAGGATACATCCCAGTCATGTCCCCGCTCAGGACTCAATGAGTATTTGTGGCCAAGTCCCTCGCACATGCTGGGTGGACAGTCACAGAAGGGCAGCTGTTGCCAGTCGGGAGTTACTGAGATCCTGAGGAGGCTATACAGTGTCCCACAGAAGTAAGAGGACCGGGAGGAATGAGGAATTGAGCCTGCCAGGACCTGCTCAGCCATGCCCAGCAAGAAGACACTAAATTATCCAGCCAGTGCCTCTGCATCGCAGACCCCTTGGCAGGGTCCGTGTAGGTGATGGCTTTGGCTGTGCATGCATGTGGCAGAGGGTCTGGTCCCTCCCTCTCTTAAGTACATGGCGCTCTGGGTCTGCAGCCAGTGCGGCAAATCTGGCTGCATGGCACACGCAGCACGTGAGGGCTCCTTGGAGACTGCCTGTGTCACCTATGTGGGACACAGACGTCCGTGATGCAAGCTCAGGCACGGTGCCTGGCAGACAGGGGCTGGCTATGAGGTCAGGAAGGAGAGCGTGATGTGCCTGGGATTCCCATAGACCACAACCACTTGGTCTTCTACAGAGCTGCAGGTCTGCCTGGTTCTACTCTGTTGGGGGAAATTGTCAACATGGGGCATGCGTGGTCTAGAGGGTCTAGAGACCCTATCCAAAGGGCATCTCCTTGACCCCTGTCACTGCCCCAAGACAGTTTGGCTATGGTCAGTGACACCAGAAATCTCAGACCCAGAAAATCTTGAACCCTAATGTTAGCAGTCTCACTTGGGAAATGGAAGTTTTTAAAGGAGTGGACACTTTAAAAATCAAAGTTGCCATCGTAACACCGCTCCATCCATCTGAAAATCATGGCTTCTGGGTTTTCCCAGGTATCATATGCACAGAGTTACCCCATTTCCCCATAAAGGAAGTGAGATGCTTAGCAGAGACATTAGGAGCTCCTAGGCTAAGTCCTCACCCCACCCCACGCTTTCCAATTAGAAACTGGTGGATCCTGGAAGCTTGGTGGTTGGCGGGGCCAGCAGTAAGGCCAGCAGTGGGGCAGGCGTGGTCCCCAGGGAGGGGAGCAGGCTCCTTTGCCTGGCTCCCTGTCCAGCACAATGACTAAGCACGCAGGCCAGAGGGAGGTGGTAGCATGAGCTGATGCTAAATGCGCAGATGTGCCGGATGCTATTTAAAGCAGCATCTGTAGGAAAGCCGCTGTGAAAATACCTTAGCGTTGCTCACTTGGGCTGAAAATCCTCCCAGCTCCATCCCAGTGTTCACTCTGTGGGAGACAGTCCTAGAAACTGAGTTTCACGTCCTGGTCTTTAGAATGATCCTCTACTTTTCCACGTTGGCTGCATTCTCACCCACTCTTGGGGCCCCTCTTCTCACCCTCAGCTACATTTCTTTCCTAGTTAGGGTTTTGGTTCTGGTGAATCAGCCCTGCCCACACACTGGGAGCTGGGCATAGGCAAAGCCCTTCTCTTCCCACTAGAAATGCATCCTCTGTGTACTTGGGGGGAGGCAAGAAGGTGGGAAGCTGCCAGTGAGGTGTCGCCCACGCCACAGGCACCCTCGTCCACCTGTCTCTCCAGCAAACACCATCCCGGCCACCCCTCGGCCAACAGATCCTCTCTCAGATGTCCACATTTAGTGGACAGGTGAAGTGCCAAGACAGGACCCAGTGGGAAAGTGAGGCGAAGATGGAGGCTGCCCTCCCTGGCAGGGAGGGGAGGATTTGCAGATGTCTTTCTGGTACGTCAGAGGAAAGCGCGATGGTGATGCTGGGGCAGAAGTGTGGGAACTCAATTTCAACTCCCTGGTCACTGTCAACACCAGCACAGTGCACCAGACACCAAGGCACTGGGGAAAGTGGAGAGAGGTGAGATTAATGAGCTCTCGGGGGCAGGTGGGGGCAGCTGTGCTAGGTCTTTGCAGAAAACTGTTTATGGTTTGGATCCAGGCCGGGCCTATGCCAAATGACTTCCCTCTTGCTATCAGGAGGCAAGGAAGATTGAGGAGCTTCCCCTGACAGGGAGCAGCCTCTTTTGGTCTCTCTCCATCCAGCAGGTGAGCAGGAGGCTCCCAAGAGAGCCAGCTCACGGCCGCTGGGCTGTCGCGAGCCTCCCCTGGGCACAACACAGCAGTCACGTGGGCCACGTGCACAGCATGCCCCAAGTCCTGGTCCAGTTCCATGTGCTATACATAGAAGGCTGGTACTCTCACATAGGGCAAGACTCCTTGTGTGAATTCTTGGCATGAACCACAAGGCGATAGCACATCACCTAGTGGAACCATGGCAACCTTCAAGCTCCCTGAGATTGTACAGGTTGCTTCATGTACATTCCTCCAGAAACCATGAATAGAAGTGGCTTCTTTGTGCTAGTAATATCCCAGATCAAGGCATGGCATTGTCCATGCGGTGGTAGACAGTTCACATGTTTGCGCATAACTCCAGGCAAAGGCGTGCACACACGTGCCAAGAGGGTATGTGGAGGGCAGTGGGACAGACTCAGCATGAGGTCAAAGTCGAGGTTCTGCCCTCCTCTGAGCTGGCCTAGAGGGTAGGCTGTGCCTGAGGAACAGACCCAAGATGGTGGCAGGACAGGGGACAGAGACCATCACGCTTACCTGTCTAGGCAGAAGCCCAGTTCTCATCATTTGACTCACATGGGCATCTCCATGCTGACGTAGCTCTGGGTATCTTGCTCTTAGTCACAGTGTGGTTAAGTTGCTCTGATGTATTCAGAAAAAACTGGGGCCAAAAGAGAGTCTGTGGGGTGCTAGATACACTCTGGCATCCAGATTGAGGCTAGCAGGCGAGGTGGGTGAGGAAAGGCTTGGGCTCCCATGAAAAGGGGCGGGGGCAACTGAGCATCTGATGTCACTCCAGTCATGGCCTCCAAAGTGTTCAGAACATCCTCGGGCACTGGCTTGTTCGCCTCCAAGTTTCATAGTGCCCACAGACAGTGGAATGGAAGCTCTCAGAGACCAAGTGACTCTCTCAGGGACTGGGAACCATGGAGTTCTGTGGAGGTACCCAGTTGCCAGTATGGGTTCCTGGCTGGTGCTCCCTGGCTGACCCAGGCCTGCCCCTGATCTTGCATCTGGAGGGAAGCAGCTTCCTACTGAGTTCCATCTCAGTGCTGAGAGTGCGCGTGCCTGGAGAATGTTCCTAGAGTGTGGACTGGGCCCAGCCGCTAAATTGTGAGGGCACAGAGCTGAAAGATGTTGCTGTTTATTTGGCTTGATCACATCCCTTCAAAACAAACAAACAGGCCATTTCAAAAATCCTCTGTCCTATATTTACTTTCTAAATTATAAAACAAATCATGTTTAAATCAGAGACTGGTGAGGAAAGGAAAGTGGTGTCAGAAAACCAACCCCCAACCACTGACTCCCAGCATGGGGTGTGTGACATCTGACTCCTTCGACAATGTCTTGTGCGACCTTGGTTACTTTTGATCAGGTCTGTGTTTTCGTGTCTCCGCCCACCGTAGCTAGCTCCACGGCTGCCACAGCAGGGCACCCGGGATCTGGAGGGAAGACCTGCAGGCAGGGTTGATGTGCTAGACCTACAGAGCTCTTCTTGAGCAGAAGCAGGTTACCAACTTGAAAAGCAACAAAGTCCCACAGGATACTTACCAGCCTCTCAGCCTCTCTTAAAACGTGGGTCTGGGATGGACTGTGGTGAATCATCCAGATCTATCTCTGCATCAGATGGTGCCTCAGGCAAATGTTGCCCATTCCACCCCAGCCTCATTCTTCTCTTGAGGATGCCATTATTCCTTCCATTAATCATCCATGGCCAGCGCAGTGGCTCACACTTGTAATCCCAGCACTTTGGGAGGCTGAGGTAGGAGGATCACTTGAGGACAGGAGTTCAAGACCAACCTGGGCAACATAGCAAGACCTCATCTCTACAAAATTTTTTTTAAAAATCATTTGTGTTCCCAAAGAACCTTCATCTTTAACCTAGTGGATGGCTGGCATCTCTCATTCCTGCTGTGGTGGTAATGTGGCTGTGTTTTACGTAAAATGAGGACAGTGCATTACAGTGCAGACAGTGCCTAGCAGGCTTCAGCCTTCAGACGTCACAGATGTGCGGCATGGTCTAACCACGGCTGTGTGTGCTCTGAAGAGGGCTGACATCCTTTCAAGTTCAAGTCCCTGAATGTATCTGCCCCCCTTAATTAGGACCGAGCCCAGCCCAGTGCTGAGGTAATTAGGTTTGAGCCTTATCCACTTTCCATGGGATGAGCTCAGACCTCTAGCCTCCCCACTTAGTCAGCTCCAGGGAGAATGTCATTAGGCAGGAGCTCGGGCCTCTTCCATCAGGCCCTGAGGCTAGTGTCACCCTTCCCCATGGGTGCTGCACTGTCCCCACAGGCTGGGACCCACCCCACACACACCACCCCCTCCCAGTGCTTGCAGCCTTGACGCTAAATCCCTGGTGCTCCTAGGTCCCTGTGAGGCACAGAGGCCAGTGACAAAGCAAATGGGATGTGGAAGGAAGGGTGCCATGGCTTTGCCTGGGCCGAGATGTTACTGTTCCTGCCCCGGCAAGTCTGGATAAGCTCTGGGGAAGGGGACTTGCCCCCTGCTGTCACCTGGCCCAAGTTCCTTGGGCTGCTGAGATTCCACCAGAAGAGGCTGCAGGTGACAGGGGCCTCAGAGGCCTCACTCCATGTTCCCTGGGCTAAAGATACCTCCTGAGAAAACCCTTGAGAGGA